TTCCGAGCTTTATGAAAGATTATTTTACGGAAGGTTCGAATGGTGTGTGTATGTGTGTGAGGATTTGGAAGCAAGCAGAATACGGGTGTTTCTAAAGCAAACTCAGCGTAATCGCGCATCTGGTTAAAAACTAAGCTCAGAATCGATTCTGAAATTCTCAGAATCGATCCAGAATCGTTGGAGAGAGAATCGCAATGCATCGATGGATCGATTTTTTTGTCCCACCCCTAATAGCGATTGAGGTGTTTTGTTGTTGGATGTAATAATGAACATACCATTTGTCATTTACTCCCGACATCTGAGCCTCTGAAGACGCAGTGGATTACTTTTGTTTTTGAAGGGAATGCGCCTCCCGATTTACCTAAATGACAGCTTCACTTCACAAGTGAGTATAAGGGTGTTTTTATGAATCTTTGCAATCGCAATTCCTAATAACGTGCTAGTTAGCAAGTTTTGCGGCTAAAGTAAACAGTCTCTGAGCACGGCTGGTCACCCCACAAAAGAGAGGGGCGGGGTAAGCAGAGCTCATTAGCATTTAAAGCAACATGCAAAAAATGGGTTTATTTCTGCAGAGCTGATTTTGACAAGGTAAAAAGGGTGTTTTTTTACACTACCACTGAGAAATTTTAACCAAAGTATGTTACAGACTTTTCATTAAGACCCTAAAGAATCCTATCAACTTGTGGAAAATGGGCATCCGATGACCCCTTTAAGTCTTTCGAAGTGTTTCAAGGAGTTCACTGAAATCCTTCTTAAAGAGTTCTGACTGCTCTTTTCGAATGTCATTCTTCCCCACATGGATGATGATTCGATTAGCAGTCTTGTGCTTCATTAGAATGTTCCGAAGTTCCCTGTTCACATCAGAAATCACAACAGGTTTCTTGAGGAAAGCAGCCTGTAGTTGTAGTTCTGCTACTGATGTTTCTGATAATAGTCACCCAATATCAGAGACCTGGGCTCGGCTGTGCTCTGAGCTGAATGCCACTGTCTGCTCGACCTTGAGCACCTGTTAGTAGCAATGTTAACTGCTGGATGATATGATCCATGTTCAATCACATTTGGGGATTCCTCACCCACATTCATTAATGCTTGAAATCTGTTCTCAAGATGTATAGGGGGTGGTAGAATACCAGTGTTGTCATAGCCGTATCTGGGGTAGAGGATGCTATCGCAGCAATATGAGATACTCGTGACAATCTAAAGTCTCGAGCGCCTTTGGGTCTCGCTCCCTGTTTGTGACATTAATTAGTGTGTCGATCAGTTTTGGCTTGTTTCTCTACACTTGGTATTAACTGTTGAAATTCACTAGATTCATGGGACTCAACGGCTGTATGCTGAGGGGGTCTGTGAAGATGGTCTGTTGTGTGTTCCACCTGTTTTGGAAGTCCAGCAAGTAACTTTGTTTCAAGAACCACAATCCTTTGTAGACGTCTGTGGTAGTTCATGCAGCAAGTAGTTTCCACAAGAGGCATTTTCTTTCTCATCTGTTTGAATGTAGGCAGCTGTGTTTTCCCGTCTCCGGAATGTAAGCTGCTGGCAGTGGGAGGCAAAAAGTCTTCTTCATAGTATTATTCCAGTCCCAAAAAGTTTTTTGTTTCAGTGTTTGTGCCAAAAATTTGTTTGAGCACTGTGCTGATCTGCTGAAGTTAAAATCTTAGAAAAATCTGAGAAAAGTACATAAACAAGGAGCAAAGCGCAGAGCAGTAAGCAAGAGCATCCGAACAGTAGCAAAGCCGGAAACAAAGACAAGAAAGACTTACGCATAGGATACACCTGTGTATCCTCGCTCATAGCTCCTCTGGAAGCTTTCTCACCTCCTTGTGGTGCAATTAGAGAATTGAGATGTCCAATCGTTATGAATGTCATGTTCAAATGACATCATAACCATTACGGGGGAAAAAAACTAATTTTTCATACTGAAGGAAAATTGGGAAAAATCAGGGCCCAGACTCAGTCAATTTGTGAAAGTGTGAGTGAAACACGGACAAATGCGTTTCATTTATTCATTCGTTCATAACCACTCATACCCCACTTCACTGTTCACTGATTTTTTTTGTAATCAATATGCAAATAATATTTTTATTTTAAAATATGCACCCATTCAATTTTAGTTGTATTCCTATGTTGAAAACGCAAAACAGAAAAATGCTATTATCATCACAATAATTATGAATTACAGGAAACGCGTAAATGACAGCCCTACTTTCAATTAAAAACGGCGAAATTTGACAAAATAGTCTAATAGTTTGCATCACTGGATATTACAGTCGAGCTGACTATTGCTATAGTAACGAATGCAACTTTCATCACACAAGCTCTTATTTCAGTGTTGTTTACTTTCAGTTTTCATTCTTACATTCAACATTAACAGCAAGTTAAACGGGGTACATTTTCAACTGAGCTGTATAGCCTACATGCGGTGAAATTATTATTATTCTTCTATTTTAATTCTACTTTATCTATATTTATCTTCTTTTTTTATTTATTTTTATTTAAAAAAACAAAACAAATAAAAAACTAACACTAGCTTTCTATTTTTTCTATTCTATCTACTTGTTGTAAATGTAATGTAAATGTACATGCATTTTAAATGCTTATCTTGCCCTGTCCGTGCAATGAATTCACATTATTGAATGAGCAGGTTTTTTAGAACATTAATTCAGCTGCTCAGGTAATTTCAGTGGTAAGCTATGATACATATTCCTGTATTAAACTCCTTGTAACTCGCAAACTCTCCATGATAGCGCGCAAATATTTCTACCCGTTTTCGCTCATTGACAGCATCTGCTTTTCTGCAACAGACTGAAGCCTCCGCGTTAATTTAGCATGCCTTGCTTTCAGCTAATAAAAGAAAAACGCTGCAATTTTCTGGTGTTATTTTATGATTGTTGGGGCAGTCTCCATGTCTATCTTATACTTCTCAAAACACAGTCCGCTTCGGAGTGGTTTTAATCACTGCACAAAAAAATAAACATTTACGCAATCTTTATCCGATTCTGATTGGGTGGGCAAGACAGTCATTTGGGTGGGCTCAGCCCTGAGCTATACTAACCGCAAGCAGCACTAACTAGAACACAGGGGACAGCTAGCCTGAGATTTCGGTCTGATTCAAACCACAGGCATCATAAGACCCGCTTCAAGCTTCGTTTAATCCTTGGTCCGTTATT